ACATGGAGATGACTTGTTGACTCCACATTGCCCATGTCTGGACCCAAGTACTGAAAAAAACTGAATACAATTTTTTTGACCCCCCAGATATTGTTTTGGGTGTTTGTACTCACTTTGTCTGCGCAGATATACAGAACATTTAGGTATTCACTTGCAGGGTTGAATGCTTACTTACCCCATATATATACCCTATATATATCATGAGTGATATTTGCAATAATAATAATTTTGTGAATAAGCATTTTTTCATATAATTAAAAAATTTATTATTTACAAAACTTTTTCCTTCGTCACTTTCAATATGGTTTCAATGAAGTCTGTTTTCACTAGCAGTGATACTCTTTAAAACACAAATTGCTCAGGTAGCATCTTTTCCATCTCTACCTTCTTTTCCAACTCTGACAAGTCGTTTACACAGTGTATGTAATCAGATGCAGGACACCACATTTGAAACAGGGCTGCACATTGTGTCTGTCCCCAATGAACTCCAGTCGTTTGCATTAGGCCCATCTTCAGATACATGCTAATCAAAGTTCTACATTCAAACAATACTGTCTGGCTGGCCTACTGTAAAGTAAAGAGGAAAAAGCTGGAGTAAAAATTTTTTTAATCCAGTTATTTATACTGCACACTGGTGAAACAATGTTCTCCTTGACAGAGTTCCTGCTCTCTGACATATAACTACAGCAGTAACACTGGGATCCATCCAATTGAATTAGTGGTTGAGGACTTTCCCAACAAACAGATACACTTGTCCTACTCTGATGGGTCCTACACAACAAAGCAGCCTCTATCACTGACACGAGGAAAGCGTTGGGCGCCTTCCTACGCATCCACCACCACTTTTGCTCCAACCACCACCACTGCTGCTCCAACCACCACCACGGCTGCTCCAACCACCACCACTTATATTACAACCACCAGCACTGCTGCTCCAACCACCACCACTGCTGCTCCAACCACCACCACGGCTGCTCCAACCACCACCACTTATATTACAACCACCAGCACTGCTGCTCCAACCACCACCA